ACAATTACTCCTAACAATGGGGCGTGATTCTTACTAATGACATCAAAGAGAGGGAAAAATTCCTCTCACTGACACCAAAGATGGAGCATAGTCCCACTGATGCCAGGACATTTTCTACTCCCAGTAGCCACAGTCCAGCCCCCCTAAAGTCTGCAGGACAGTAAACTGTCCCTTTGTTTAGAAAGTTTAGAGACCCCTGCTTTAGAGCCATGGAAGTTGCCATCTTAGCCTCTGTTTGATCTGAAGTTGCCATTTGTTCAGCTATGACACCAACCATTAGTTGACTTGACAGATTGGTTGGGAGCACAAGCAACTGTGTGAGATATCATTCATGGCATATCTTGAATGTACTGTAGCTGGTTTGGGACAACGTTAAATCAGTTGGTTTACTTACGCTTTAAAGTGAAACCCCAGACACTTTTCCATGTTTTGTGTTCTGGGAGCAGCGGGAAAGGGTTCGAATTTTTGTAAGGCTGATATGTCCCATTCAGTAGTGAACATGCTGAAGATAGAAGCTTATTGGTTATTATGAACAGCTGCTCCAGATTCTGTCTGCTCCACATTTAGTAACTTACACTGTCTAACCTTTTTTTCACTCTCTGTGGGTTTGAAAGTTTGGACAGGAGTTCTAATTCAGGGTGCTCTCAGATTTCTGAATGTCTCTACATGTTGTGAAGACTACAGTTTTCTACTGGTCCTAAGGCAACAATCCGATGATTAAAATATATATAGACCCCCCAGTATATGCATACCTATCCTAAACGCCTGCGTATGTGTAGTTTGTGAGTTGAATCAATTCTTAACATAGAACAGAAAAAACAGTGTATGGCCAAACTTTGTGAAAACCTGACCACCACACTTCAAGAAACTTGTTGAACATCCCATTCTAAAACCATTGGCTGATACTTCACACCTGCCATCAATTCACCTGAAGTGCAACATGATCAATAATCTGTCAGTGTAACATTTCCAAGTATGTGTCACTTCTAACAGAGATCACAGAGCTCCCCCCGGCAGTGCCGCCTTCTGTTTTTCTCTCTAGAAAGCTCCGCCATCTTTGTTTAGTCAACTTCTAGGGCACATGTGTCAAACTCAAAGCCCGTGGGCTGAATCCAGCCCACCAGACCATTTCATGTAGCTTTTGCACCTCTCCTGCAGCTGCGGCACCCCCCTTGTCTCCATCCTCATCTTGTCTCAGCAGCAGAGAGGAGGACAGATCTCCTCCAGCAGATCCTGTGCTTTTGCATGCAGCTGAGGAGAGCTTTGTCACTGTTCCCCTAGCTCAGCAGTCAGCAACAGAGAGGAGGACAGACCTCCTCTTACAGATCTTGCGCCTCTCTGTGAAACTGCAGCACCCCCTCATCTCCTCCCCTGGTTTCAGAATTCAGCAGACTTCAGCAACCCTCCTCTGGTTCTCCTCCAGACCCTGCACTTTCTGCTTCCCAGCTCCACCCCCAGCTTCTTCCCAGCAGCAGCACAAGGTAAGAGGGGTGCATTGTAATGTGGGTGGGGTGCTCTGGACATCTAGTCTTACTGATACAACTAGCCCTTTAATGGCAACCATAATGCTAAGGTGGCCCGCAACCAAATTGAGTTTAACACCTCTACGGTCACCATCTACATCCTGGACTGCAATGCCGCCTCAGAGATTAATACAATCCTATAAATCCTGGTGCCTGAGCAGCTCTTGGCTGTGTTCACAGACAGCTAACACAGATCAGCCCCTCATCTCATGAATTGCTACACAGTTACCATGTTATAGTCTGATCACTAAGAGGAGACTGAGGAAATGCTTCCTTCTGCCTGCTGCAGACTGATGACATCATCTCTTCCTAGGCAAAGTCACTGGACTGGAGCTCAAGGATGGCTTTTTAATGATAAAGTTTTTTTAAAAAAAGGATACTGTTTCTGTTTATTGTGACAGATCTGGAATGTGTTCATGGAGACTTGTAAAGTTAATGACAGCAGGGCCAGGACAAGGGGTGGGCAGAAGGGGCGGCTGTGGTTTACTGTATGGATGGGGGTACCAGTGAGCTCATTCTGATACAAGGCATTTTGACAAGTGGATGACTTCTGGGGGTAGCATCCCCTAAATTCGCACACAATGAGGGGGGGTGCAGTTTGGTTTCTTTGCTCTGGGTGCTGGATGACCATGTGCCGGCACTGACTGACAGATCCAGTTCATAGACAGCCTATTTACCTGTTTGTCTGGAGTTCCACTGTAATTCCACACCCTTCAGTCCTCATGCACACGGGACGTTTTGATAATGCTGGGAACGTTAGCTGTGTAAAGTCACGTTAAAAACCTGAGTTTTTTAGCGTTTTTGCATTGGCGTTTTTTGTGTTTTGCTTCTTTAGCATTTTTTTTTTACATAAAAAAAATGTTTTGATCAAAAAAAAGTCCAAAAACGCGGGTTTGCGGCGTTTTACCACGTTTTTCAGCATTACAGCATTTTTACAGCTAAAAAACGTCTCTAGAAACCCACTAATTCTGGGTTTTTTTCCAGCCAAAACACGTCCCAGCCAAAAAACATTGATTACAGCCTATGTGTGCATGGACACAGGATAACATGCTGGGAGGTTTACTGGCTGTAGAAAAAAACGTCAAAAGCCAAAGCCGCTGTAAATGTCCGGTGTACATGAGGACTAAGGGAGATTTACTAAAACTGGAGCACTCAGAATCTGGTGCAGCTGTGCATGGGAGCCAATCGGCTTCTAATTTCAGCTCGTTCAATTAGGCTTTCACAATAAAACCTGGAAGCTGATTGGTTTCTGTACAGAGCTGTACCAGTTTTTGCCCCCTCGGGGTTTAGTAAATAACTCCATATCTCCTTGTTTATGAAGCCTGGTTGATGATCTCACGTCGTTCCATTCCTAGCGAAGTCTCAGATTGTGAACTGGAGCGCGGCGCAGGAAAAATAGAAAAGTTGTGTTAAGTGATGGGACAGCAGCTGCACGTATTCCTGTTAACAGGTTTTTGATTCCACGGCCGTGGCGTTCAGAGACGTGTATGAATTTCTCTTCTGACCCCAAGTGTTCCCAGACCCCTGAATGATTTATTGACTTCTGTACAGCAAGGCTGAGGAATGTTGTGATCACATTAAGAATTTTTCAGTGCACTGGAGGGAATTCCTCCTCCCCGAGCAGTTCAGGCTGCCCGTGGTCACACGATCCGTGCCCAGCGCTGAGGATAACCATCTTCACTAACACATGTCATACTTTGCTTTCCTGTATTGGGATGTTTGATATTACTAAAGGAATTGCTAATTGAAGCTGAACTTCAACTCATTATATAAATATACAGTATCCCCCCTCCAGTCCATCATGAATGCTGCTGCCAGGCTCATCCACCTTACCAACCGTTCCGTGTCCTCCACCCCTCTCTGCCAATCCCTCCACAGGCCTCCAATCAGTGTCCTCCACCCCTCGCTGCCAATCCCTCCACTGGCCTCCAATCAGTGTCCTCCATCCCTCTCTGCCAATCCCTCCACTGGCCTCCACTCAGTGTCCTCCACCCCTCTCTGCCAATCCCTCCACTGGCCTCCACTCAGTGTCCTCCACCCCTCTCTGCCAATCCCTCCACTGGCCTCCAATCAGTGTCCTCCACCCCTCTCTGCCAATCCCTCCACTGGCCTCCAATCAGTGTCCTCCACCCCTCTCTGCCAATCCCTCCACTGGCCTCCACTCAGTGTCCTCCACCCCTCTCTGCCAATCCCTCCACTGGCCTCCAATCAGTGTCCTCCACCCCTCTCTGCCAATCCCTCCACTGGCCTCCAATCAGTGTCCTCCATCCCTCTCTGCCAATCCCTCCACTGGCCTCCACTCAGTGTCCTCCACCCCTCTCTGCCAATCCTTCCACTGGCCTCCACTCAGTGTCCTCCCCCCCTCTCTGCCAATCCCTTCACTGGCCTCTACTCAGTGTCCTCCACCCTCTCTGCCAATCCCTCCACTCAGTGTCCTCCACCCCTCTGTGCCAATCCCTCCACTCAGTGTCCTTCACCCCTCTGTGCCAATCCCTCCACTCAGTGTCTCCCACCCCTCTGTGCCAATCCCTCCACTCAGTGTCCCCCACCCCTCTCTGCCAATCCCTCCACTCAGTGTCCCCCCACCCCTCTCTGCCAATCCCTCCACTCAGTGTCCTCCACCCTCTTCCAGTCCCTCCACTGGTCTCCACTCAGTGTCCTCCACCCCTCTCTGCCAGTCCCTCCACTGGCCTCTACTCAGTGTCCTCCACCCCTCTCTGCCAATCCCTCCACTGGTCTCCACTCAGTGTCCTCCACCCCTCTCTGCCAATCCCTCCACTGGCTTCCACTCGCCAAACGAATAAAATTCAAAATACTAACAACTTACAAAGCCATCCACAACTCTGCCCCCAGCTTCATCACCAACCTGGTCTCAAAATATCAACCAAACTGCTCTCTTTGATCCTCCCAAGATCTTCTGCTCTCTAGTTCCTGTGTCACCTCCTCCCATGCTCACCTCCAGGACTTCTCCCGAGCTTCTCCCATCCTATGGAACTCCCTACCCTAATCTATCCACCTTTAGACGATCCCTGAAAATATTTCTATTTAAAGAAGCATGTCCTGCTTCTACCTAGTAAATCGACATTTATTTCCAGTCCAGTTCTGTGAGGCCACATATTTGTGTGACGTCGGGGCGAAGGGGTTCACAATACATTAGCGTATGTGTTAGCATGTTACCGTGTGCCTTCTGATGTGACTGAGCCCTTAAAGTGGTATTAAACACAAAACCAAAAATGTAATATGTTGCAGCTTACCAATTATTAGATGGGGTGGATGCATTAGTTTTCTTATTTAGACTTTTTCCACTCTGTTTTCACCTGGTGATCTAACCAGTAACACACCTACTGTATTAGAGTGCCCCCACCAGGGCAGGTCTTAATGCATGGGCACCACTGGGCACTGCCCAGGGGCCTCTGGTGCATGGTAGCCCCATGATAATCTTACATTACATCATACTTGCCAACTGTCCCGGATTTGCCTGATCCCAGTATTGTGCCCTCCTGATCCCAGTATTGTGCCCTCCTGACTCCAGCTGTACTGTTCCCTCCTGATCCCAGTATTGTGCCCTCCTGACTCCCCCCATACTGTGCCCTCCTGACTCCCCCCATACTGTGCCCTCCTGATCCCAGTACTGTGCCCTCCTGACTCCCCCTGTACTGTGCCCTCCTGATCCCAGCATTGTGCTCTCCTGATCCCAGTATTGTGCCCTCCTGACTCCCCCTGTACTGTGCCCTCCTGATCCCAGTATTGGGCCCTCCTGACTCCCCTTGTACTGTGCCCTCCTGATCCCAGTATTGGGCCCCTCTGACTCCCCCTGTACTGTGCCCTCCTGATCTCAGTATTGTGCCCTCCTGATCCCAGTATTGGGCCTTCCTGACTCCCCTTGTACTGTGCACTCCTGATCCCAGTGTTGTGCCCTCCTGACTCCCCCCATACTGTGCCTTCCTGACTCCCTATGTACTGTGCCCTCCTGATCCCAGTATTGTGCCCTCCTGAGCCCAGTATTGGGCCCTCCTGACTCCCCCCATACTGTGTCCTCCTGATCCCAGTATTGTGCCCTCCTGACTCCCCCCATACTGTGTCCTCCTGATCCCAGTATTGTGCCCTCCTGAGCCCAGTATTGTGCCCTCCTGAGCCCAGTATTGGGCCCTCCTGACTCCCCCTGTACCTCGCCATTTGTGATTGATTTATGGGAGGCTTTCTTATAGTTTAAATCAAGTTTACTGGAATTACTTATAAATATATGTTTGATTCTATCAACTATTCTTGAAAGTAGGTGCATATATTAAGGCATGCTGGTAGGGTTGCCAGTGCATTACTTTGCCCAGGGACCCATGATGCTATTAAGATGGCCCTGGCCCCATCTCTGGATGAAGGGCACCTTTTGGACAGCAGCATGGTTCATCTATGGGTGTGGAGAGGTGTTAGATGTACTAGCAGATTTAAATATACTAACAAACTGAAGCCATACTCCAGCTGACCCTTTATAATACGTTATAGCAAACAGTTTTTTCTAAATAAATAAAAGCTGATCATTGTAAGCACCCCCCTGTCAGTGGTAAACGGTTTGTCCCAACATTCTAACTGCTACATTTGCAGGAGAGATTGTTCATTTAAAAAACAGATTTACTGGATGGGTCGCCAGGTGAAAATAAATGAAAAAAGCCTAAAAAGAAAACTAATGCCGCCATCACAAGAATTGGTAAACTGCAATATACTGTAATGTTTGCTGTTGGGTTAAATACTGCATTTTACTGCAGAATACAGTTATTATTATTTATTTCAGGTACTTATATAGCGCCGTCAATTTACGCAGCGCTTTACATATATTGTACATTCACATCAGTCCCTAACCCTCAAGGGGTGTACAATCTAAGGTCCCTAACTCACATTCATACATATACATACTAGGGACAATTTAGACAGGAGCCAATTCACCTACCAGCATGTCTTTGGAGTGTGGGAGGAAACCGGAGTACCTGGAGGAAACCCACTGGTAGGTTAATTGGCTCCTGTCTAAATTGGCCCTAGTATGTGTATGTATGAATGTGAGTTAGGGACCTTAGATTGTACACCCCTTGAGGGTTAGGGACTGATGTGAATGTACAATATATATGTAAAGTGCTGCGTAAATTGATGGCGCTATACCAGTACCTGAAATAAATAAATAATAAAAATAAATAATACTTAAAGGGGCAATCCACCCACAACTGTTCATTATTTGGTAAATGATGGTTTGGTAAAACACCTAAACCTGAATTTCAGAATGCTATAAAAGGCACAAATTAATGTAGCTCTGTATTCATTTAACTCCTTCCTGCTTTCTGTATGCATATATGCGAACTCCCAGCGGGTGGACCTTAACGCAGAATGGCCACATATTTGTGTATCCAAAGAAAAAGAGAACTGTGCAGAGAGCGTGCACCCTGAGCGCTCCTGGCACAGTTACTGGCGGCTAGCGGAAAGCTCCCAATCTCTACTTGCGATCGGAAGCCTTCTGATCACATGACTGCTCTGACAAGCAATCACGGTGGTCACATGATCACAAACCCCGCACTGTGTGCACTCATGGTACAGTTACTGGTGGCTAGCGACAAGCTTCCAATCTCTACTTGCGATCGGAAGCCTTCCAATCACGTGACTGCTCTGACAAGCAATCACGGTGGTCACATGATCACAAACCCCGCACCGTGTGCGCTCGCGGCACAGTTACCGGTGGCTAGCGACAATATTGTACATTCACATCAGTCCCTATCCCTCAAGCGGCATACAATCTAAGGTCCCTAACTAACATTCATATATACACATACTAGGGCCAATTTAGACAGGGGCCAATTCACCTACCAGCATGTCTTTGGAGAGTGGGAGGAAACCGGAGTACCCGGAGGAAACCCACGCAGGCACAGGGAGAACATGCAAATTCCAGGCAGGTGGTGCCGTGGTTGGGATTCGAACCAACGACCCTAGTACTGCCAGGCGGAAGTGCTAACCATACAGTTTTTCAAGCTTTTTAAAAACATATAAACTATTCTAATAAAAAATAGTTATTCCTGAAAATAAAAGACAGAACACTTGACTTGAAAAAGGCATTGCACCTACTACAGTGCAGTAGTAGGTCAGGGAAAATGCCATTTATTTAATGCGCAGAGATTGAACTAAAAAAGAAAATAAAATCAGTGTAGGTGCAGAGGAGATGTCATGGTGCGATCCTGCCGCTTGATAACGGCCAGTAGGTGGTCACCGACATCCGGCCGCTCTCGGCGTATGGGAGATACTTCTTCTCAGCATTGTTTGGGATCTTTGTATATTCCTCTTTGTGGGGTGACCCTATGGTGAACCATCTCTATAAATAGTGGCACAGTGCTGTCTGCGCGGTCACATGATCACCGACCTGTTCACGTCTGAAGTCCCATTGTCTGCTGGGCCGCAGTGCTCATGTTTCACGGATGACATTGCTGAAGCCGAGCCAGGATTATTACTCAGTATGACCCGGGGACAAGGAGCGGCCGTCCAGATATCGTACATTCGCACCGGCGTGCTGCTGATCTTATCTTCGTGCTGAGTGATTTGGTTACGGAATCGCTAAACATTTCACGAACTGCTAATCCGTCTTTGGAGACTGCTCAGTGATCGCTGAAACTTCCAGCAAGCACAGCAAAGTGTCAGTCAACTTTTTGGAAAATGTGTTGATTGCAATAAAATGCCGCACAGGGCTGTCCAACGCCAGCCCTCAAGGGCCATACAGAAGCCAGGATTTGGGGGCAAATACATTTTTAGGTGATCCTACCCTGAAAGTGAACATGTGTTCTCTATTCTGGGCTAAATAACAGGTTCTCTTTAACATCAAGACCCCACTTTCATTTTTTCCCTCTCAGCAATCTATTTGGCCACTGGGGGGGGGGGGGGGATTGGCTACTCTGGCACGTAGTGCCGTCACATGGAACAGGGGGGAGACTCCTTAGGACCCATTCACATTCACAAGTGGTTCTAACGTCAAAACATTTCTTTTATACATTCCCTGCAATGGTGTTCCTAAACCCACAACAGTACAATCAGTCTGTATATGCAGTAAAGCATGCTTGTTATACTCACTGTGGAACCTAAGGGGTTAATCCTCTGCATTGTGTAAAAAGGCCGTTTGATCCTTTCTTCTCTGTTCCTCCCCTTTTTCAAGCGACCACCTCTTATCTCCTGATAAGACAGACTGAACCGTAGGCATTTTGCACATGCTCAGTTTGGTGTGTATTGCTAGAGAGGTTTTTTTTTTTTTCTTGGTAGAGTGTATGTGATCAGCACAGGGCCAATCAGCATTGGTTAGACAGAGGTCAGGGGTTTTGCATCCTCCTAGAGCAGAAAGAAAACTCTTTCTACAAGCTTTAGATGTCTTGTGGTTTTTATCAGCGTCCAGCAGAGCACTAACTGCTGATGAGAAAAGGTATTTAGCAGTTTATATTTACTAAAATAATGGCATTTCCATGTTCTGTGTACTGTGGGAGATCAGATATAGTGAATGCAGGGTCCTGGGAGACCAGATATCGTGAATGCAGGGTCTGGGGAGACCAGATATAGTGAATGCAGGGTCCGAGGAGACCAGATATAGTGAATGCAGGGTCCGGGGAGACCAAATATAGTGAATGCAGGGTCCGAGGAGACCAGATATAGCGAATGCAGGGTCAGGGGAGACCAGATATAGTGAATGCAGGGTCCGGGGAGAACAGATATAGTGAATGCAGGGTGTGGGGAGACCAGATATAGTGAATACGGGGTCCAGGGAGACCAGATATAGTGAATGCGGGGTCCGGGGAGACCAGATATAGTGAATGCAGGGTCCGGCGAGACCAGATATAGTGAATGCAGGGTCCAGGGAGACCAGATATAGTGAATGCAGGGTCCGGGGAGACCGGATATAGTGAATGCAGGGTCCGGGGAGACCGAATATAGTGAATGCGGAGTCCGGGGAGACCGGATATAGTGAATGCAGGGTCCAGGGAGTCCGGATATAGTGAATGCGGAGTCAGGGGAGACCAGATATAGTGAATGCAGGGTCCAGGGAGACCGGATATGGTGAATGCGAAGTTCGGGGAGACCAGATATAGTGAATGCAGGGTCTGGGGAAACCGGATATAGTGAATGCAGGGTCCTGGGAGACCAGATATAGTGAATGCAGGGTCTGGGGAGACCGGATATAGTGAATGCGGGGTCCGGGGAGACCAGATATAGTGAATGCAGGGTCCTGGGATACCAGATATAGTGAATGCAGGGTCTGGGGGGAGACCGGATATAGTGAATGCAGGGTCTGGGGAGACCATATATAGTGAATGCAGGGTCCTGGGGAGACCAGATATAGTGAATGCAGGGTCCTGGGTTTAGTAACTTTAAGGTAAAAACTACCCACTACTTATCCTAACAAACACCTCCATTCCTAAACGCTTACTTGGCTCCAGCGCTGTCTTGGCTTTAGCACCACTCACTTCTTGCTTTAACAGGAGACATTGGTGGCAATGAAGGCATTGGCTCCTGTTGCTGTCATTCGAGCTCCTGTGAGGGGTGTGGTCTATCAAGGCTGTCAGTGCGCATGCACAGGTGCCCCCTTAGCATCTGGCTCGCTAAGGAGGCACCCGGTGTAGGGAGAAGTTGATACTACTGGCAGGGGACTGTCAGAAGAGGAGGTAAGGGATTTTTCTGTGCAATATCTTTTCACAAAGCAGGTAAGTATAAAGGGCATTCAGGTCACACTGGGACTTTTGAGTTTATAAAAAAATAGAACACATTTGAAGGAGTGGAAACTGCATTTATTTTTTGACATACTCCCCTGCTACATTTATACACTTATCCCAGTGTTTAACTAATGCCTG